AAATGTCAGCTTTCCTGCTCCTCCGATGCTGCCTGGCCTGCTGTGTTCCTCCAGCTCCACACCGTGTTATCTCAGACTCCAATATCGGCAGTTCTTACTATCTCTCAGGGTTAACATTGAATCATGTTTGACTCAGCATCAGCAAAATCTTAAAACCGGAGCTGGATCATTCAGCAAGAATAGGAAACATTTTCCCTCACAAAAGGAAGCAATATTCTGGAGGTTTGTCAACCGAAAGGCTGTAGTGCCGAGGGATCCTTTCCAGGTTCCCTTCTGAGCGAAATACCATTGTGACCTCCACTCATTCACTATCGCTGGGACAAAACTGTGTAAAACTCCCTGCGTAACAGCTTTGTGGGTGTATCCACTTCACATGGAAACAGCAGCTCAAAGGAGAAGCTAACCACCATTTTCTCAGAGCAATTTGGGATAGTAAAGAAATGCTGGCTTAGCCAACAATGCCCATGTCCCACACAAAACTTTTTAAAAAGTAGATTTTTGATAGGTAAGGTGTACAGGTCAGGTATCCGTTATCCAGTGATCTGAGGAAGGGTCACTCGACCCGAAACATTAACTCTGATTTCTCTCCACAACTACTGCCAGACCCGCTGAGCTTTTCCAGCGATTTCTGTTTTTGTAGGTATTCATTATCAGTACGTCAGGAAACCCAAAAGACCTGAAAACCAAAGGCCTTTTCAAAGTAGATCTGAATAAACTCAGACACACTGAGCATGGGCGCTTTGGATAAAAGGCTTTGCTTTTAGGACTGTTCGGGTCCGTAATGATCAAGAAAAGTTTTCTTTCCCAAAGACCCGAATGGACTACGGTTGACCCAAAACCGAAAATATCCTTCTTCCAAAACCAGTTGGTCCCGAGGTTTTTGGATAAAGGATTTCCGGCCTGTAAAGTGATATGGAACAAAGGCAAACAGAAATTAATTAAGGTTCAAATCAAACTTAAGTTAACAGAACCTCAGAAAGGCCCCGAGGGCTTAACATTTTATCCTTAGTTCCATGGTTCTCTACTTATGCAACAAGGAAGATCTAAACCTACAGTTTGTGAGAATGTGTAAAAGATGCCACCGCTCATTAAGGAACAAACATGATAAACAAGTCAAGAGGCTAGGTTGGTGCAAGTGTGACAAGATAAAAACAAGACTTACAGCTTTCTTGCCCATTTCTGTTTTAGAAAGTGTGAGTGTTCCTGTAAGGTGGCAACCAATTTCAATTCCTTTTGGAACTCTGGAGGAGGAAAAAGGAAATTAATTCCACTTTGTTGCGGACTGAGACTGAAACAGAAAATGCTGGGAATACACAGTAGATCAGTCAGCCTCTTAGGGGCAGATCCAGTGTCAGGAAATGAAAGCTGAAGGAGGTTGTAGAGGAAGGAGGAATGGAAAATAATCTAATCACAGGATAGAGTCAGATGAGTGGAACAAATCTCAAACTGCTTGTTAGAAAAGGATGTTCTCACTGTGACTGGACTATCTATTGGCTTTTCTCCCTCCTACCTCCTGCTTTTGCACTGCAACTGCACAACATTTCCATTGTTTATCTGTTAAATTCAAAATCTAACAACAGTTTTGAATCATAAAAGGAGGCCACTGGGCCTTTCTGCCTGTACTGGATCAGTGGAGCAGCTGTCATATTGGTCTCACTGTCCTTGCTCTTTCCCCAAATCCCTGAAATTTATTTCCTTCTCAACTATTAATCCATTTCCCTTTTGAAAGGGACAAATGCATCTGCTCCTAGTTCCCATTCAGTCAGTTATTCTGATTTGGAATATACTCACTGCATTTCTTTATTTCTCCATCTCATTTCTGTTGTTACTAATTATCTTAAATCAGTGTCCTTTGGTTTCTGATGCTCCTGCCAGTGAACACAATTTCTCCTTATTTACTCAATTAAATCTCTTCTAATTAGGCTGTCTTTTTGCTTTGTATGTGCAGGCTGATTGAGTACTATGTGTTTGTGGTGTTTTTTACTTCAGGTCTGCAAGGTTATGGGGAAAGAGCTGAGAGCTGGGGACATGAGATTGTCAGAGAGTTGGCCCAGGCATGATGGGCCTCCTTTTCATTGAATGATTCTACTGTTGCCATGTTTTCTGTCAGGAGTAAATTAATGCTGTGTTGACTGAAGACAACTGTCAAATTCAATGCGAGTAGGTTTACAAGAATAATACCTGGACTTCATGGACTAAATTATGAGGAGAGATTATATAAATTAGTTCTGTCTTTAGTAGAATTTAGAAGGTTAAGGGGTGATGTGATCAAAGTCTTCAAGATATTTGGGGCGGCACGGTGGCTCAGTGGTTAGCACTGCTGCCTCTCAGCGCCAGGGACCCCAGGTTCGATTCCAGCCTCGAGTGACTATCTGTGTGGAGTTTGCACGTTCTCCCTGCGTCTGCGTGGGTCTCCTCCGGGTGCTCCGGTTTCCTCCCACAGTCCAAAGATGTGCAGGCTAGGTGGATTGCCCATGCTAAATTGCCCGTAGTATTCAGGGATGTATGAATTAGGTGGGTTATAGGGGTATGGGTCTGGGTGGGATTCTCCAAGGGTCGGTGTGGACTTGTTGGGCCAAAGGGCCTGTTTCCACACTGTAGGGATTCAAGAAGTAGGGTCACAGTCTGAGAATTATGGTAAATTAAGCAGTATTTTGTGTTTTCTGCACCCACAGGATTGTTCTTATGCTCCACCACTATTAAATAATTAAAAATGCCAACTGTGTTAATCTTTTCTTTTTTGCACATGGAAATGAGCTGTTCTTTTTTTGTAACATGGGGCATGGTGATAAACACTGCTGAAAATGAGGAATTCTCCAAAAATACATACATCCCAGAATGGGGGCTTGCCAGATGGGAGCTCACACGAGACCATCAGGAGCAGAACGAGCATGGCAGAATGGCAACATGTTCTACAAAGATGCTGTACATTTACTTTCCCAGTCTTTAACTGGCCAGATTCTTGTTAATCCTGGGACAATAACTTACTTGTCATCTGGCAATGAAGTGATGTAGAATGGAATTGTGTATTTTGGGGGCAGCGTAAGGGAGCAAAACTTGCTCTTGTTGAGTAGTGCGTTGGCATGGGTTCGGTAGATGTCCAGGTTCAGTGGAGCTGGGAGCTTGCGATCGATGTGGAATGGCAGGTCATTTAAATGTTCCAACTCACTCAGCGCCTCGTGGCGAATCTGCAGGCGTATCACATAGTCCCCTTTATCCAGTTTTAGCGAGTACTGTGAAGAAACAGCAAAGCGCTTCAGCAACAGGCCATTTTAACAAAAAGAGAAACACGTTCCACACACTTCAAAATCAATGCTTAGTATTTGACTCATATTTAGAAGGAACATAGACTTGCATTTCAACAGCACGCTTAGCAATGTCCTAAACCAATCAGCAACCAATGAAATACTTTAGAAGTACAGCCAATGTTGTAATGTAGGAAATGTAGCAGCTAATTTGTGCGCATCAAATTCTCTCATACAGTGATGACCAGATCGTCTGTTTTTACTAATTGAGGGGTAAATGTAAATTAGAACATGAGGAAGACCTCAACCGCTCTTCTTCAAAACACAACCACAATATATTTTAGTAGTGAAAGGGTTCTTGGTTTAATGTTTCAAATCAAACTTATGCCTCTGACTGTGTAGCACTCATTCAATAGCGCACTGAACTTTTGGGCTCTAATGAGTGAGTGGTACTCAACTCCAACAGCAGCCCATAACTTCTGAGATACAGGCAAGAATGCTACATAGAACAGCAAATTGAACATTCGTGGTGGAAAATGAATCCTATAGATTTGAAACTCATCTGGTGTCTTGGTGGGACACTTTGAGACTAGTACGAGTAACCGTTTAGCTAAATTTCTTATTTTTCCAAGTGTAGTTGGAACATAGCTAAAGTAGTGTTGTTCTGTGACGGGGCCAGTAATACTGGACCAATAGCTTAAGGATAAAATATGAAATAAAAAATGAAATAAAAAAATTATACATCTTTTTCAGAGAATGGGGCTCCAATTGAGCCTCGGCTTTTCTGTAATTCAATTTTACAGGGTGGGGGAGCTTGTACTTCTGCAGAAATGTTTTACTATTTTCTAATGTTCTCCCTACTTGCTTCTTTTCCCCTCCCAAAACACTTCATAAGATGTAGGAGCAAAAGATGGCCATTTGGCCCATCAAATCAGTCTGCCATTCAATGAGATTGTCACTGATCTGATGATTCCTCAACTCCACTTTCCTGTCTTATCCCCCACAGTACCTTCACAAGCCTCGATTCCCTTACTGATTAAAAATCTGTCTCTCTCAGCCTTGCATATATCTAATGACTCAGTTTGAGTGCCCTGTGGTACAGAATTCCACAGGTTAATTATGCAGAGAAAAAATTCTCCTTATCGCTATCTTAAATAGCCAACCACTTACCCCGAAATTATGTCCTTTGGTCAAAGACTGTCCCAGAAGTGGAAACAATCTCTCCATATCCACTCTCAAACACCATGAGAATCTTGTATGGTTCAATAAGGCCTCCTCCCAACCTTCTAAACTCCAGTGAGTACAAACCAAACTCACTCAAACTATCCTCATAAGAAAATCCCACCATCCTCTGGAATTAACTGAGAGAATATTCACCAATATATCCTTCCTTAGGTAAGGGGATCAAAATTGTTCACAGTGTTTGAAGCATGGCCCAACCAGTGCCTTGCGAAGTTTTAGCAAGACCTCCCAATTTTAAATTCCCTTCCCTTTGAAATTCCCTCCTGTGTTAGCAGTAGATCCTTTACTTCAATGTTTGAAACACACATGGATGGTAAAGCTGATACTTTCTTTGTCCCTGCAGTGGAGTGACCACCATTCTGAAATCAGAATCACTTATGTCAGCTTTCAACAGTACCTTTGTTAACAAGGGTCTTCTGCAGAGATGGTCAATTTTACAGTTTTGTAGTTAGACTGTTTCAGTCAGTTCAGTGCACAGATTACATTTTCCTGTCCTTAACCACCATTCTTACCCTGTCAGGATAAGCATCGCCTGATCCCACCAGCTTCTTGTTTTGATCAAATAGCATCCAAAGTTGACTGTCGTACTCTGATTCATACAACAAGTCAGATAATAATGCACAGCTTGGAGTTACTTCACCAGACTTTGCCTGTAGTAGCACATTTAAAGAAAACACAATTAACACTGCATAGTAAATGGCAAAATGTTGTAAAGAAAGCCTGTACAAGTGGAGTCAATCCATATCCCTCTTATCCTCAGCACGCTGAAGCCACATAAATGGCAATGTGCAGGATGCAGCGCATCTACTCAGCCAGACGTTCCTGAAACTTCCTCTGTTGTGACCTCTACCATTGAGAAAGTCATGGGAACATCATCACCTCCAAGATAACCTGCAAACCAGCGAGACTATTACAGATCAAACAGAGATTATGCTGCAGGTCTCAAAACACAAAGTCTTTTAAAAAAGACACAAATTAAGCACTGGGGTCATTTATGAAAAGACAAAATTTCAAAGCAGGGAAGACTTTTAAAATCTGTGCACAGTTCTGCTCTCCTATTACATACAAAAGAAAAATCTGACAGAATACTTTTTCCCTAGAAATGAGAGAAATAGGATTTGACCAAAATCTTTAAGATTATAAGGATGTGAACGGACAGAAAATCTTTCCGACTGTGAAGCCCAAAACCAGAGTGCATTAATATAAAGAGTCATTAACAAATACAAGCAGGAATTCAGCAGATATGTCTTTGCCCAGATAAGGATGAGAATGTGCAACTCACTCCCACAAGGAGTGGTTAAGGTGATTAGCCACAAACATTCACGGGAAGCGAGATAAACACCTAAGGAATGGAAGAATATGTTGGTAATGTGAGATGAACAGGTGTGGAAGAAGGTTTATATGTAACAAACAGTGGCCTGAACTTGTTGGACTGCATAGTGAAGGCTATGTAGTTTGTATACGAGCACAATTCTAGATACAAAATATTCATGGTTTTATTTAACATAGGGCATATGACAAGGAAACACAACCTCAGATGGCACTGAGGAGTGACTCCAGATTAGAGGGTGCTTGCTCTGTTTAAATTAGCAATTGTGCATAAGAATGCATTTCACTGTTTCTGAGAGAGGAGAATTGGCATCAGTCGATATAGGGATATAGGAACAGGAGTGGGTCATTCAGCCTGCTCTGCCATTCAATACAATCAATGCTCATCATCCACTTCAATGTTCCTTTCCCCCCAACACTATTCATAGTTAGAACATAGAATAGTACAGCACAGTACAGGCCCTTCGGCCGACGATGTTGTGCCGACCTATTATCCTACTAAGATCAATCTACCCTGCATACCCTACATTTTACTATCCTCCATGTGCCTATCCAAGAGTCGCTTAAAAGTCTCTAATGTATCTGACTCCACTACCACTGCCAGCAGCGCATTCCACACACCCACCACTCTGTGTAAAGAAGCTACCTCTGACATTTCCCCTATACCTTCCTCCAATCACCGTAAAATTATGCCCCCTCGTAAGAGTCATTTCCGCCCTGGGAAAAAGTCTCTGACCATCTACTCTATCTATGCCTCTCATCTTGTAAACCTCTATCAAGTCAACTCTCATCCTTCTTCGCTCCAATGAAAAAAGCCCTAGCTCCCTCAACCTTTCCTCATAAGACCTGCCCTCCAGTCCAGGCAGTATCCTGGTAAATCTCCACTGCAGCCTCTCTAAAACTTCCACAGCTTCCACAGTGACCAGATCTGAACACAATATTCCAAGGGTGGTCTAACCAGAGTTTTACAGAGCTACAGCACAACCTCATGGCTCTTAAACTCAATTCCCCTGCCAATGAAAGCCAAGCCAACACACCCTATACCTTCTTTACAACCCTATCAACTTGGGTCGCAACTTTGAGGGATCTATGGACATGGACCCCAAGATCCCTCTGTTCCTCCACACTGCCAAGAATCCTGCTATTAACCCTGTATTCTGCATTCAAATTCGACCTTCCAGAATGAATTCCCATAGCCCCTTAGGTTGATAGACCCACAGTGACTGGTATCTAGCAGTGTCTCAATCTTAACTCTAAATATACACAAGCATTTTCTTTTTTGAGGCAGAGTTTTCTGCAGTTGCATAAATACATTTATCAGCATTTACAATGAAAATGGGGTGAACAGTGCTGAAAATGTTAACCTCTGCCATGACCTGCCCATAAACAAGTTGCGTTTGTAATAGTGCCTGTAACATAGGTAAATGTCCCAAGGAGCTCCATAAAGGATTATGAAACAAAATACATAGGGACAAGTGAACAAAGACTTGGTTAAAGAGGTATGTTTTAAGATCTTAAAGAAGAGAGAGACAGAGCAAAAAGGAAAGGACTAGGGAGGGGTGCAGAGCTTAGAGCCTGGGTATTTTTTAAAAAACTGCTATTGTTCCAAGTAAATAAAATTGTAGACAGGAACACAGAAGCTTTAAACACAGGATCATTCAGGTCATCTAGTCTGACAGCTAAAAAGTAGCCATTCAACCTAATCCCACTCTTCAGCTGGCCAGCAGTGATCCGCTAGGTTACAGTATTTCAAGTGTTATCCAAGTAGCCAAGTTTGCAGAAGCATAGGGTCCTCAATGGGTTAGAGAGCTAGATGAGTTAGAGTTAGGAAAATGGTGAGATCACAGAGGGATTAAAAATTTACGCATTGTCAGAAGTTAAATTACAGGCAGCAGTTCTGAATAATTATAAGTGTATGGATGATGGAAGATGTATGGCTCACCAGGAGAACAGAAAAAGAATGTAAAGGGTACGGATGCACGTCAGCCGGCTTTCTCATCATTACAACAAAAGATTATAGCCCTGGAATCATTCTAAACTTTAAACTTCATTCCACTGCACAGAGACCTTGCCCCATTGCAGCTGCCCTAAGAAACCATTCCTGGCATCAATCTTGAGCTGGCTCCTTAATCAGTTCATCTCTTGCTATTACCATTGCAATGCAACTTGAAGAATAGTATTTACATATCACTGGTAAGTCCTCTTATCAAAGAATTACTTCATTGCACAAGGAGCCCATTCATTCCAACATGCTGGTATCAGTTTTCTGAAAGAACAATTCACTTGGAGTCTTCTCCTTGCCTCCCTGCACATTCTTCCTTTTTAGATAATAGTCTAGCTCCCTTTTGAAAGTTTCAGTTGAAACTTCCCTCCATCACAAACTCAGGCAGCATACTCTAGATCTTAATCAGTGAGACAGCAAAAACACTTTTTTTTCCCCTCATGTGTTTTGGTCCCAGCTGATGTTACTACTGGACCAGTCAGATCTCAATGAAATCTGGCTTGTTAGACCATACTTTTGTTTTTCCTTTGATTTTATGTGGAAGACACAAAAGACTGCAGATTTGAATTTGACAGTAAAGCTGAAGTTGATTACAGGAGAAATTTAAAAAAAAACAAATCAAGATATCTAAATAGTACACAGTTTAAACAAATTCAAACACCTGCAAAACCAAGATCCTATCTCCTTCCCAAAACATTACATTACAGTTATTCAAAACTACAGATATATTTTCCTTCTCCATTACACCTGTAGGTTTGACATCTAAGCGCCTTCACAACTCTGGTGCTGAGAGCTGAGAGGTTTTTTCCGTTGACTATTCACACAACTGAGAGCTAAGACTTTCTCAGTCTTCCAATAATCTGCAGAGTTTTGATTAAGCACTCCTGGTCTGGAAGTTTTTGCAAACAGAAACCCTTTACACTGAGGCAACTTATTCCCTTAACTGCTCTAAACAAATTCCATTTCCGAGGAGAAACTGTTCTTACATCGGAGTTCAGTCAGGTCTCCTTCAAACTGAATTCAAGAAGTTTTAACTAAAATAAAACAAAAAACTTGCCGATCCTCGCTTCTATAATGCTAGGTGGAGGCTCTGGACAGAGTGCAAAAGAAGTTTAATAGGATGTTTCAGAGATAGTAGGAACTGCAGATACTGGAGAATTTGAGATAACAAGGTGTAGAGCTGGATGAACACAGCAGGCCAAACAGCATCAAAGGAGCAGGAAGGCTGACATTTCGGGCCTAGACCCTTCTTCTGAAGG